ATATACAATTATAATTGGTTAATTTTGCAGATTATTAAATTTTGATTGGTTTATTTTCATGCTATGTGCAAACAAATGGTAAACAAATACCCTATCTTTAAATAATAAGGCATAAGGATTAGACACAAACTGAAGCTTAGCATAAATTTTATAAAAGGTGCTGATGAGGACCAATGATTTAGATAAAGGTCCAGAAACAGATAAATTAGTATGGATAGGCCAGAGCAAAGGTACTAGTAGGGACCAAAGTATAGAATTAGCCAATCATATGAACTTAAATTCATGCGAAACATAAATAATGGATACCCATGGATAAAGCAGTACTATCCAAGCCCTACCTATTTATACAAGAGCTTAATATCTCGAGCCTTCACATTTACCCTAGAACTTGGAATTCGATACCCTAGCCCAGCCTTTATGAGCCTACCCACGGGTGCTCACGGGTAGCCCAGGCCCATGCAGAGGCCTAATTTTCACATGACAAGATCATGCTGCCCAATAATATACAAGATTTTGTATACAGTTAGTTGGCTATAAACCATACACTTCATTTTACTACGTTTCTAGTATAAATAGGCGTATAAAAAAAACTGGAAAGATCAAAGTACCGCAAGCCATAAATAGTAGGGTAACAAATATAAAAGCCACGGTGAAAATTGTAAAAACTTGTTAAAATCAGATCATGAGTTGAATACGTAATAAAGATCATCTAATCAAATAACTTGGTATTAAATACTCTGCTCCTGGCACATACATATGTAAGTATATTCCAGATGGCATTCTTTTTTAGCGTTGTTTGGGTGCTACACAAAATCACAAGCTATTTTTGTCTAATCAAATACTTATAATTGTACACTTCACTTAACTTGCCTGTAAACCATACTCTACATACTTTGTACTCTGTTCCTGGTATATAGTTGATGATACAGTAACATATAATGACGATGCAAAAAAATATATAAATAATAAGTTAAATATGTATAATTAACTAAAATACAAACAAATACTAATTATGACTTTTAAAGCCACATTTGAAGAAATTCTTTAATCATTGCTGTATAGCAAAATATTATTTTTTTATAATAAAAAAATATAGAGAAAGTGATTGTACAATTTACTTATCACCCCGGTACCCACCTGAGATATTCTCCCAATTTCATCATCTTCCTGATCTAATTCCAGAAGAAGATCTTCATTATAAGCCCTTTGAAGAACTTTATGGAACTACAACAACAGAAAATTATCAACCTTCATACCAAATAGCAGCATCTTAAACAAAGTTTAATTAAAAAGAAAGTAAAAAAAAGAAAAGTTAATCATACAATGCCTTTCTATCCTTCTGTGCTGTGTGCTAAAAATGTCAGAATTACTGTTACTTGCATAGAATGTAATAAGCCACAGCTCTTATTCAGCTCCAAAAAACTATCAAATAAAAACCATCAAATACTTGCTTAATTTCTTAACACTATCCTATATACATGTGGTGCAATATTTAAAAGTGTGAGAGAATTGTCACTTGCTACACCAATAACTCAACATAATGAAGAAAATATACTTTCAGATGAACATAACAATAATGACAAGATAAATTCAAGTATCAATGAATCATAATCTGCTACAACAATAAAATCAACTGAACATCATGATATAGATATGTTTTTCGAGAAATATGATGACAACAATGATGAAATAAATTTGGTTGCTAGTCCTAGAGATTATTACTTTGAACATGCTATTAGCGATGTTGAAGATGTTGAAAATAGTAATAGTAAACCAAGTAAACAAGCTGATCAAGAAAAAAGCAATAATTTAGAAGAACCTTACCCTAAAGAGCCTGATAACAAAGGTATCAAAAATGTAGAAAGTGATCCTATCCGGGAAATCTTCAATCAAGTTTTTGTTAACGACTCCCGGATATGTGATTTCCTAATAGAAAAGCTATATTATTCTGCCAAAATCTACCCTCACATTTGTTATTTATGTAGAGATCCTGATATCACTCAGTCTATATCAAACAAAATGCTACCAGCATGTAAAAATTGTATCACTATAAATAGTTCAACTAAACGCCAGGGAAAAAGCTCCTTTGGTAAAAGAAAAAGTAAAAAAGTTTTCCATAAGGCTTAAATACACTTTTGTAATATAATATATAGTTAGTAATAACTATTACAGATATTTAATTTTGCTTCTAATAAAATACAAACAGATTTTGTTCATACTAGAAAATTAATATTCCAAGATCTTTATTGTTAATGTTTGATAACGTTATATAATATATTATGTTTGAATATTATATTAAAAAATAACTAATATAATAAACAACAATTCACTATATTCATGTAGATTGAAATATAATGAAGATCTGAACTTGTAATAAATGTTCGAAGTGAAGTGTTTTGAGCAAATTGAATAAATTAAATGCAAGTCCAGAGTTCTATGATAATCTTTAGTCAGTGTAACAATAGATTTCCTAGTTGTATAACAAATATTTGACATATTGTATTATGTTTTAATGTATGGTTAGTTGATTAGCGAACACAAATTTGTCACATGGCATTAATAAAATTTAAAGTTTTTTTGTTAATTTGTTACGTATAACTTGCACATAACCTGGTATATATTCTTTAGGTTTATTTATATGTACCCTAAGGTACATGTACCCGCATCATATGACCTATATAGATCGCCATAAAATTAAACATCAGGTGTAACGTTACACGATCAGAAAAATTCAAAAACAAATGTTCGTTTTGACAAAAATTGCTAATTTCGCAAGAAATTGCATACTAAACCACCTTCTGTGCATTAATAAAAAGTTTTCCTTGAGCGATTTTACTACATAATTGCCTAATCACTAACCCTAACATAGTTCTCACCCTAACTCTAAACTAACATAAACAATATCGGTATTACTGTTTTTGTATGTAATATCGTATAATCAAAATAAAGAGTATAAAAAATTTAATGTACCCTACGGGTACATTTACATTAATTCATATTCTTTAATATAAAAAATAATAAAATTTTAGATTTTAAATTTTGCTTTTATAATCCGCATACAACCCGGCATATATTGTTTTATATAAAAAATAATAAAAGCTTGAATTTTAAATTTTTTTTCTAACTCGACCGGGTTATGAGAAACAAAAAAAATATTTTGAATAGCCTTAGCTTGTATGTAATTAAACTTTTATATAATGATATCTTTTTTTTTTATATATATCAGCGCCTCGTCAGTATCTTTATTAGATCAAAGCATTTGTATAAAATATAATTAAACTATCTAAGTTACAGATCTGACATCACTCAGCTGCTCCTAAAGGTGCCCAAGTGTGGTTTGCCTTACTGATTAAGGCTATTGCCTGTACCAGAGGGCTATACCAAGCTAGCCTAGAAAATTATCACAAGACGGTTTCAAAACGAACAAATTTTTTATTATATTACATTGGCAATTTTTCCTTTCTAAACTATTCACCTTTTTTGAACAAAGTTCTAAACCTAATATTCTATGAATAAACCAAAATATTTCTTCTTTTAACACAGGGATATTGCCAAAATTCTCTTGTTTGTGATTAAATTTCTTTTTTTTTTTCTTCTCTTCTAGTTCAACCTGTCTTTTCCAATTTGTGACCCGGGTCTTGAGAGTCTTCTCTTAATCTTTTCTATAACTTTCTCTTCCTGGTTTATAGCTTTATACTTCCTTTCTTCTTCTGCTTGAGAGCTTGATCTATTAGTTTTTTTCAAGAATATTTCTCTATATATTCTCTTTTTCTTCAAGTACCTTAAGTTTTCTTTCGATTTCTTCATTTTGAGGTCTTGATTAGTCCGCCCAAGTTCTCTTTCTTCTGTATTCTGGGTATAAAAATCTTCTTCTCTTCTTTTCTTGGTTTTCTTACTCTTCTTTTCTTTTCTGAAACTTGGTCTTCTTCTCAAAAATCTTTCTTGTATTTCATTAAAGATCTTTTGATTTTTAAGATGTTTTACAAAGATCTTCTCTAGTATTCCCAATAGTGTGTTCTTTTTTTTTTCCAGTTTTTGACACCCCTCGGCCTAGATATTACTGTGCTCTGCGATAAGTTCATATTCAAGTTCTATTGGAACTTCAGTCTATGTATCCATTTCGCCAAAAGATCTTTTTTCGTCTTTTTCTATATTTTCTTGTTATATTGTGAATTATTTTTAATGCTAATTTGATATATTACTTCTGTTAACTAATCTTCTGGAGTTGCAAATATGATTTTTGGTCTTGACTCCTCTTGAATCTTGTTTAGTACTTTAGCCTCTATGAGACCAGAAACATCTTGTCCTTTGCTTTTGTTTTGCTTTTCTTTTCTAATTTTTCTTCTTTCCTTTTCTGGTATGCTAGGGCGAATTCAACAGATACTTTAAAATATATTATTATTAGAGTTCTTAAATCTGACTTAT